TTCTGTGTGTTTCTGTTCTCTCTACAAAATGCACACTGCTGTACTGTTTTTTCAATCTCACCAGACATTCCAGGCCACCATACGGATTGGTAAGCTCTTTCTCTGCACTTTACCAGGCCTTGATGTCCGTCATGGATTCTCTCTAAGATGGCCTTCCTCTTTTCTGTGGGAATGACAATGCGGTTGCCTCTAATGACCAAGCCATCTATTTCAGATAGTTCTCCTCTCATTTGGTAGAAGTCCTTGACTACCTCAGGTACCTTTCCAACATAATCAGGCCACCCATTCCTGATGAAGCCTATGACTGTCTGGAGCTGTCTATCATATTCAGTGTGCTGTCTAAGCTCCGCCATCCGATGTGGTGTGGCCGGGACCTGACTCATGACAGCCTCGATGTGAGCCGCCACCTCCTCATGACAGACCCCATCCCCAAAACATTGCTCTGGGCTCCTAGAGAGCGCATCCGCTACAGCTAATGTTTTGCCAGGTGCATGCTCCGCAGTGGCATTGAAACGCATGAGTCTCATTAATAGCCTCTGGCACCTAATTGGGACACAGTCTAAGTCTTTACTGTTCATGAGAGGCACCAATGGTTTGTGATCAGTAACCAGTCTAAAACCGTCCAGTCCATATAGGTATTTGTCAAACCGTTCACAGGACCACACACTTGCCAGGCACTCCTTCTCGATCTGTGCGTATCTTTTCTCCGCGTCACTTAATCGTCTGGAGCAGTAGGCCACGGGCTTCCAGTGATCCCTGTGCTGCTGGAGTAGAACGCCACCCAGCCCGTAGCTGCTGGCATCTGCTGACACTATGGTGGGCTTGTTGGCATCGTAGAAGGTAAGTACTGGAGCTGTGGCTAGTGCAGTCTTTAAGTTCCTGAACGCCTCGCACTGTGCAGGTCCCCACATCCACTCTTTGTCTCCTTTCAATAACTCGTACAGTGGGTGAGCCACTGTTGATAACTCTGGAATGAACTTGGCTAAATAATTAACCATCCCTAAGAATCTTTTGAGTTCTGTCGCGTTTTGTGGCTGTGGAAAGTTCCCTATTCCTGTGACTTTGTTTGGGTCGGCCCTGACGCCTGCCTCGTCGATTAGATGACCCAGGAAGCGAACCTGTCTCTGTTTGAACTTGCACTTTGCCTGGTTCAACTTGAGCCCTGCTGCTTCGATGACCCTCAACACCTCAGCCAGGCGTCGGTCATGTTGCTCCTTTGTCTCTGCGTGAATTAAAATGTGATCCATAAAGATCTCTGTCCCTTCTAAGCTTTCCTCTGGAAAATTTCAGGAGCACTTGTTATTCCGAAAGGAAGACGGCGGAAGGCATATCTCCCAAACGGAGTGATGAAAGTGGTGAGCATCCTGCTCTCCTCATGCAGGGGAATCTGATAAAATCCACTTGCTGCGTCCAGCGATGTGAACACTTTTGATCCGGCGAGCTTTGGCATTATTTCCTCCACCGTCGGCAGGACATACTTCTCCCGTTTCACGGCTTTGTTCAGTTTCCTGAGGTCTGCACAGAGGCGGACTTCCCTTTTGTTGGGTTTGAGTACCGGCACCATCGCGGCGCACCATTCTGTTGGCTGTGTTACTTTTTCGATTATGCCCTCCTCCTCCATGCGCTGCAGTTCTTTTTTTACCAGCGGTACCAGTGGCAGGGGTATCCGCCTGGCTGTCGGCACTGCATATGGCTGGGCATCATCACGCAGGGCTATTCTGACTGGCTCAGTTTTCAATAACCCGTTTGATCCAAACACACCACTGACCTCATTCATCCTCTTTACTAGACCCATTTCCACTGCTTCCTCCCGGCCCAGTAAGCAGCTTTTTCCTTCAGTCACATACACCTTCAGAGAGTACTTTCTCCCCTTATAGCTGGTGATACTCTGGAACATGCCTATGCAATTGAGATCGCCCCCTGGGCTAACGAAACGTGTGACAGGAGGCTCAAGCTTTATTTTAGGACTCATCTTTTCGAATGTCCCTTTATCAATAATGGTAGCGTCGGCTCCTGTGTCAATTTTAAAGGTTACCACCACATTGTTTACAGGTAAGCCTACAGTCCATGTATCCTCATTATCCTCCCTGTCAACTGCTCCAAGGAAGTATGTTAGTCCAGGCTGTTCGCTTGTGACTTCTCTCACTGCTTTAGAACGACATTTACGTTCCCAATGTCCTTCCTTGTGACACTTATTACACTTGCTTTTTAATGCAGGACAATTTCTTTCATTAGAGTGTTGTGGCTTACCGCACCTCCCACACTCCTCCTTTGTGTTGGTCACCTGGCTGCTGGTCCCACGTCGCTGACTCTTTTTTTTATACTCCCAATCCTTCCCTTTTACCGCATTAACATTGGCCAGCTGAGCGTCCGGTCGATTGGTCTGAAGATTAACCTGCCGCGTTATCGCCTCTGTCTGGCGCACACGTTCAATCACATGCGTCAACGTTAGGTCTGCTTTGAGCTGGAACTGGCGGGAAAGTTCCTTGTCTGCTATTCCTACCACAAGACGATCCCTTATATGTTCATCCCTCGTAGTCCCGAATTGACAGTGCTCTGCTAACTCATATAATGTCCTGATGTACATCTCCGCCGTTTCCCCGGATTGCTGGCTCCGTTGATAGAAACATGCACGCTCGTGTATGATGTTGCATCTTGGAATAAAGTAGTCGTCAAACTTTTTCATGACCACTTCAAAGTCCTTCTTATCATCTTCCTCTTCAAACTCAAATGAACTGAATATCTTTTCAGCTTCACTGCCCATTGCATAGATCAGCGAACTTACTTCAATCTCGCCGTCATCTTTGCTCAGCTTCGTGGCCAACCGATAGCGTCGAAATCGCTGTTTCCATTCCGGCCATTCGGTTGGGCTCTCAAACTTAAACTCGCTCGGCGGGCTAAACTTCGCCATGTCTTCTTTACCGACACACAGGCTATTCTGACACCATGTAATGTCTGTTGATATCCTTTACAGGCATTTAATAATACTTAGAAGACAACAACACGTGAGTTCTCTCTGTGTCCGGTTTATTCACATGTTAGCTTGAACAACAACAACAGCAACATCCGGTATATCTCTTCTTCGGCACTCTCTGACCTCGGCTAGAACAATGACACCTCTAGGTCACTACCTGTCATTACATTTGTGAAGAGTGTGTTTGTGAAGAGTGTGTTTGTGAAGAGTGTGTTTGTGAAGAGTGTGTTTGTGAAGACTGTGTTTGTGAAGACTGTGTTTGTGAAGACTGTGTTTGTGAAGATTGTATTGGTGAAGACTGTGTTTGTGAAGACTGTGTTTGTGAAGATTGTATTGGTGAAGACTGTGTTTGTGAAGATTGTGTTTGTGAAGACTGTGTTTGTGAAGACTGTGTTTGTGAAGACTGTGTTTGTGAAGACTGTGTTTGTGAAGACTGTGTTTGTGAAGATTGTGTTTGTGAAGAGTGTGTTTGTGAAGAGTGTGTTTGTGAAGAGTGTGTTTGTGAAGACTGTGTTTGTGAAGACTGTGTTTGTGAAGACTGTGTTTGTGAAGACTGTGTTTGTGAAGACTGTGTTTGTGAAGACTGTGTTTGTGAAGATTGTGTTTGTGAAGATTGTATTGGTGAAGACTGTGTTTGTGAAGACTGTGTTTGTGAAGACTGTGTTTGTGAAGACTGTGTTTGTGAAGACTGTGTTTGTGAAGACTGTGTTTGTGAAGATTGTGTTTGTGAAGAGTGTGTTTGTGAAGAGTGTGTTTGTGAAGACTGTGTTTGTGAAGACTGTGTTTGTGAAGACAGTGTTTGTGAAGACAGTGTTTGTGAAGACAGTGTTTGTGAAGACAGTGTTTGTGAAGACTGTGTTTGTGAAGATTGTGTTTGTGAAGACTGTGTTTGTGAAGACTGTGTTTGTGAAGAGTGTGTTTGTGAAGACTGTGTTTGTGAAGACTGTGTTTGTGAAGACTGTGTTTGTGAAGATTGTGTTTGTGAAGACTGTGTTTGTGAAGACTGTGTTTGTGAAGACTGTGTTTGTGAAGACTGTGTGTGTTTGTGAAGACTGTGTTTGTGAAGACTGTGTTTGTGAAGACTGTGTTTGTGAAGATTGTGTTTGTGAAGACTGTGTTTGTGAAGACTGTGTTTGTGAAGACTGTGTTTGTGAAGACTGTGTTTGTGAAGACTGTGTTTGTGAAGAGTGTGTTTGTGAAGACTGTGTTTGTGAAGACTGTGTTTGTGAAGACTGTGTTTGTGAAGAGTGTGTTTGTGAAGAGTGTGTTTGTGAAGAGTGTGTTTGTGAAGACTGTGTTTGTGAAGACTGTTTGTGAAGATTGTGTTTGTGAAGACTGTGTTTGTGAAGACTGTGTTTGTGAAGAGTGTGTTTGTGAAGACTGTGTTTGTGAAGACTGTGTTTGTGAAGACTGTGTTTGTGAAGACTGTGTTTGTGAAAACTGTGTTTGTGAAGACTGTGTTTGTGAGGATTGTGTTTGTGAAGACTGTGTTTGTGAAGACTGTGTTTGTGAAGACTGTGTTTGTGAAGATTGTGTTTGTGAAGACTGTGTTTGTGAAGACTGTGTTTGTGAAGACTGTGTTTGTGAAGATTGTGTTTGTGAAGACTGTGTTTGTGAAGACTGTGTTTGTGAAGAGTGTGTTTGTGAAGAGTGGGTTTGTGAAGATTGTGTTTGTGAAGACTGTGTTTGTGAAGACTGTGTTTGTGAAGAGTGTGTTTGTGAAGAGTGTGTTTGTGAAGAGTGTGTTTGTGACGAGTGTGTTTGTGAAGAGTGTGTTTGTGAAGAGTGTGTTTTTGAAGAGTGTGTTTGTGAAGACTGTGTTTGTGACGAGTGTGTTTGTGAAGAGTGTGTTGTGAAGAGTGTGTTTGTGACGAGTGTGTTTGTGAAGAGTGTGTTTGTGAAGAGTGTGTTTGTGAAGAGTGTGTTTGTGAAGAGTGTGTTTGTGACGAGTGTGTTTGTGAAGAGTGTGTTTGTGAAGAGTGTGTTTGTGAAGAGTGTGTTTGTGAAGACTGTGTCTGAACCGCAGGGTGAAGAATAAGATGAAGCTTCAGCAGACGTTCACCGTCGACCCGCTTTACCTTCGACACGACAACTCAGACGCCACTGACTTCATGGTGCGCTCACAACACACACTCATGATCAGTGTGTTTACCCGTGTGTTTACCCGTGTGTTTACCCATGTGTTTACCCATGTGTTTACCCATGTGTTTACCCGTCTGTTTACCCGTGTGTTTACCCGTGTGTGTTTACCCGTGTTTACCCGTCTCGTGTGTTTACCCGTGTGTTTACCCGTGTGTTTACCCGTGTTTACCCGTCTCGTGTGTTTACCCGTGTGTTTACCCGTGTGTTTACCCATGTGTTTACCCATGTGTTTACCCGTGTGTTTACCCATGTGTTTACCCGTGTGTTTATCCGTCTGTTTACCCGTGTGTTTACCCGTGTGTTTACCCGTGTTTTTACCCATGTGTTTACCCGTCTGTTTACCCGTCTGTTTACCCGTGTGTTTACCCGTGTGTTTACCCGTGTGTTTATCCGTGTTTATCCGTCTGTTTACCCGTGTGTTTATCCGTGTTTATCCGTCTGTTTACCGGTGTGTTTACCCGTGTGTTTACCCATCTGTTTACCCGTGTGTTTACCCGTCTGTTTACCCGTCTGTTTACCCGTCTGTTTACTCGTCTGTTTACCCGTCTGTTTACCCGTCTGTTTACCCGTCTGTTTACCCGTCTGTTTACCCGTGTGTTTACCCGTCTGTTTAACCGTCTGTTTACCCGTCTGTTTACCCGTCTGTTTACCCGTCTGTTTACCCGTGTGTTTACCCGTCTGTTTACCCGTCTGTTTACCCGTGTGTTTACCCGTCTGTTTACCCGTCTGTTTACCCGTCTGTTTACCCGTCTGTTTACCCGTGTGTTTACCCATCTGTTTACCCGTCTGTTTACCCGTCTGTTTACCCATCTGTTTACCCGTCTGTTTACCCGTCTGTTTACCCGTCTGTTTACCCGTGTGTTTACCCGTCTGTTTACCCGTCTGTTTACCCGTCTGTTTACCCGTGTGTTTACCCGTGTGTTTACCCGTGTGTTTACCCGTCTGTTTACCCATCTGTTTACCCGTGTGTTTACCCGTCTGTTTACCCGTGTGTTTACCCGTCTGTTTACCCGTCTGTTTACCCGTCTGTTTACCCGTGTGTTTACCCGTCTGTTTACCCGTCTGTTTACCCGTGTGTTTACCCGTCTGTTTACCCGTGTGTTTACCCGTCTGTTTACCCGTCTGTTTACCCGTCTGTTTACCCGTGTGTTTACCCATCTGTTTACCCGTCTGTTTACCCGTCTGTTTACCCGTGTGTTTACCCGTGTGTTTACCCGTGTGTTAACCCGTGTGTTTACCCGTGTGTTTACCCATCTGTTTACCCGTCTGTTTACCGGTCTGTTTACCGGTCTGTTTACCCGTGTGTTTACCCGTGTGTTTACCCGTCTGTTTACCCGTCTGTTTACCGGTCTGTTTACCGGTCTGTTTACCCGTGTGTTTACCCGTGTGTTTACCCGTGTGTTTACCCGTGTGTTTACCCGTGTGTTTACCCGTGTGTTCAGCACTGGCAGATCTCTCTGAGTCGCCGCTTCCGCTCCCTGAAGCTGTGGTTCGTGATGCGCTGCTTCGGTCTGAAGAACCTGCAGGAACACATACGACACGTGAGACGCCGCATCATCACGCTCACACACACACTTCACAAACCCTCCTACGGTCACACACTTACACACTTAATGACTGAACACTCAGGGCCCTATCATACACCCGGGCGCGACACAAGTGTGTTTTGCTAGTTTAAGCCCGACGCGGTTTTCATTTTCTCGTCCTGCGCCACGTTGTTTAAATAGCAAATGCATTTGCACCCGTCTGTGGCCCATGAGCTGCTGGTCTGAGAAGAGTGTGTGTTCAGGCTCATTGATGGACCGTTGCTATTTTGAGGAACTGAAATAGACTGTATTGGTCACAATTGGTCGCAATATTTTTTTTGTTATTTAAAGAGCGCGTTAGTAATATGAGGCTATAGGCGGGTCCACACACAGGTTATTACATACACACTCTGCTTATTACACACACAGGTTATTACATACACACTCTGCTTATTACACACACAGGTTATTACATACACACTCTGCTTATTACACACACAGGTTATTACATACACACTCTGCTTATTACACACAAAGGTTATTACATACACACTCTGCTTATTACACACACAGGTTATTACATACACACTCTGCTTATTACACACAAAGGTTATTACATACACACTCTGCCTATTACACACACAGGTTATTACATACACACTCTGCTTATTACACACACAGGTTATTACATACACACTCTGCTTATTACACACACAGGTTATTACATACACACTCTGCTTATTACACACACAGGTTATTACATACACACTCTGCTTATTACACACACAGGTTATTACACACACACTCTGCTTATTACACACACAGGTTATTACACACACACTCTGCTTATTACACACACAGGTTATCACACACACACTCTGCTTATTACACACACAGGTTATTACACACACACTCTGCTTATTACACACACAGGTTATTACACACACACTCTGCTTATTACACACACAGGTTATTACACACACACTCTGCTTATTACACACACAGGTTATTACACACACACTCTGCTTATTACACACACAGGTTATTACACACACACTCTGCTTATTACACACACAGGTTATTACACACACACTCTGCTTATTACACACACAGGTTATTACATACACACTCTGCTTATTACACACACAGGTTATTACACACTCTGCTTATTACACACACAGGTTATTACATACACACTCTGCTTATTACACACACAGGTTATTACATTCACACTCTGCTTATTACACACACAGGTTATTACACACTCTGCTTATTACACACACAGGTTATTACATACACACTCTGCTTATTACACACACAGGTTATTACATACACACTCTGCTTATTACACACACAGGTTATTACATACACACTCTGCTTATTACACACACAAGTTATTACATACACACTCTGCTTATTACACACACAGGTTATTACACACTTTGCTTATTACACACACAGGTTATTACATACACACTCTGCTTATTACACACACAGGTTATTACACACTCTGCTTATTACACACACAGGTTATTACACACTCTGCTTATTACACACACAGGTTATTACATACACACTCTGCTTATTACACACACAGGTTATTACATACACACTCTGCTTATTACACACACAGGTTATTACATACACACTCTGCTTATTACACTCACAAGTTATTACATACACACTCTGCTTATTACACACACAGGTTATTACACACTCTGCTTATTACACACACAGGTTATTACATACACACTCTGCTTATTACACACACAGGTTATTACATACACACTCTGCTTATTACACACACAGGTTATTACATACACACTCTGCTTATTACACACACAGGTTATTACATACACACTCTGCTTATTACACACACAGGTTATTACACCCTCTGCTTATTACACACACAGGTTATTACATACACACTCTGCTTATTACACACACAGGTTATTACACACTCTGCTTATTACACACACAGGTTATTACATACACACTCTGCTTATTACACACAAAGGTTATTACATACACACTCTGCTTATTACACACACAGGTTATTACATAGGCAAGGCAAGGCAAGGCAAGTTTATTTATATAGCACATTTCATACACAATGGTAATTCAAGGTGCTTTACATAGAAAAATCAAAAGAAATAGGAATAATTAAAACAGTTAAGAATAAAGAGATTAAAATAATCAAAAGAAATAAGAATAATTAAAACAGTTTAGAATAAAAAATTAAATAAAATACAGTACAAACAGTCGGACACAGTGGCAAAGTGCTCATTCAGTAAATGCATAGCTAAACAGATGTGTTTTGAGTCTGGATTTGAATGTGACTACTGTAGGAGCACATCTGATCTCCTCTGGAAGCTGGTTCCAGCTGCGGCTGGCATAGTAGCTAAAAGCAGACTCTCCTTGCTTAGAGTGAACCCTTGGTATTTCTAGCTGATGTGATCCTAATGATCTGAGTGATCTGTTGGGTTTATATTCAGTGAGCATATCTGCAATATATTGAGGTCCTAGCCCATTAAATGATTTATATACCAGTAATAATACTTTAAAATCAATCCTAAATGTAACTGGGAGCCAGTGTAAAGACCTGAGGACTGGTGTGATGTGTTCATATTTTCTGGTTCTGCTCAGAATCCTGGCAGCAGCGTTCTGTATGAGCTGCAACTGTCTTATGGTGTTTTTAGGAAGGCCAGTGAGGAGTCCATTACAGTAATCCACCCTGCTGGTGATGAAAGCATGCACAAGTTTCTCTAAGTCTTGACTGGAAACAAAGCATCTAATTCTTGCAATATTTTTCAGATGATAGTATGCTGATTTAGTTATTGATTTGACATGACTACTGAAACTAAGGTCTGACTCTAGAGACACACCAAGATTCCTGACTTGATTTTTAGTTGTTAGACCCCTAGCGTCAAGGTATGCATTCACCTTGAGAACTTCATCTTTGTTTCCAAACGCAATGACTTCAGTTTTGTCTTTGTTTAACTGAAGAAAGTTTTGGCACATCCAACTGTTTACTTCATCAATGCATTGGCACAGGGAGTCAATGGGGCTGTAGTCGTTAGGCGATAGGGATAAGTAGAGCTGTGTGTCGTCTGCATAGCTGTGGTAAGAGATTTTGTTCTTTCTCATTATTTGGCTCATTGGGAGCATGTACAGGTTGAACAGGAGTGGTGCAAGAATTGAGCCTTGAGGGACTCCGCATGTCATGGACGTCCACTCAGACTTATGGTCTCCTATACTCACATAATAACCTCTCCCTTCTAAGTATGACCTGAACCATTTTAGGACTATCCCAGAAAGCCCCACCCAGTTTTCCAGCCTGTCAAGAAGTATGTCGTGATCGACAGTGTCAAATGCAGCACTGAGGTCGAGTAGTACCAGCACTGATAATTTCCCTGTATCAGTATTTAAGCGAATATCATTTATTATCTTTATGAGCGCTGTCTCTGTGCTGTGATGCGATCTGAAACCAGATTGAAAATTGTCAAAGTATCCATTCAAGCTTAAGAATTTGTTCAGCTGATTGAAGACAACTTTTTCAATGATCTTCCCTATGAAAGGAAGATTTGAGATCGGTCTATAGTTGCTTAATATGGTCTTATCCAGATTGATCTTTTTCAGGAGGGGCTTGACAACTGCAGTTTTCAGGGAGTTTGGAAAATTCCCAGAGAGAAGTGAGGCATTTACCATTTCTAGGAGATCTGCTTCTAAACAGTTTAACACACTTTTGAAGAAAGATGTGGGAAGTGCGTCAAGGGCGCAGGTTGATGTTTTAAGGTGCTGTACGGTTTCTTCTAAAATTTTGCCATCAATTTCTTCAAAATCAGACATAGTAGCTACTTTCTGCGGTTGTGGTCTGATCTGTCTGACCCCAGTGCGGCTCAATGATGTGCTGATCACCTTTCTGATATTATTGATTTTCTCAGAGAAGAAAAAAGCAAACTCCCTGCACTTGCTGTCTGAAAGCATTTCACTGGGAATCTGGCTTGGGGGGTTTGTCAGTCTCTCTACAGTAGCAAAAAGAGTGCGTGTGTTGTTTAAGTTGCTGTTTATAATATTTGAGAAGAAAGTCTGTCTAGCTTTGCCTAGTTCCATATTAAAAGCATGGATGGTGTCTTTGTAGATGTTATAATGGACTACAAGTTTTGTCTTCCGCCACATGCGCTCTGTTTTTCTGCATTGTCTTTTCATATTTTGCACAGCTGTTGAGTTTCTCCAAGGTGCTTTTTGTCTACCACTCTTCCTGACTTTCACAGGAGCAATATCATCAATTACACTTTTAACTTTTGAGTTAAAACAATCAAGGAGAAAATCAACAGAGTCAGCAGATATGCTTGGTTTTAAAGATATGGCCTTCATAAATAGCACACTAGTGTTCTCATTTAAGCATCTCTTCTTGACAGACACAGATCTAGCTTCAATGGCAGGAGAGATCAATATATCAAAGAAAATACAGAAATGATCAGACAGTGCTACATCCTTAATAACAATCGATGAAATGTTTAGACCCTTACTGATAAGTAAATCTAGAGTGTGTCCACGAGTGTGTGTCGGTCCGTGTACATGCTGAATCAGGTCAAAAGTTTTTAAAACAGTTTTGATTTCTTTTGCCATATTTGTATCATTATCTATGTGAATGTTAAAATCTCCAGCAATAGCAAAACAGTCGAACTCTGAGGAAATTGTTGATAACAGTTCTGTAAAGTCCTCAGCAAAGGCTGGAGAGTATTTTGGAGGCCTGTAAATAATGATAAGTAAAATGCGTGGGGCACCTTTTAAAACAATACCGAGATATTCAAAAGACGGGTAGTTACCAAATGATGTTTGCTTACATTGATAGACATCCTTAAAAAGAGCAGCTACTCCTCCACCTCTCCTTACAGCTCTGCAGACACTCATAAAAGTAAAGTTAGGAGGGGCTGTTTCATTGAGGACGGTTGCACTGCAGCTGTCTTCTAGCCAGGTTTCATTTAGAAGCATAAAATCCAGGTTGTATG